CCCTACAGAGAAGCAAACTAACTTTTACCTTACCCAAGCCTTTTTCTCAGTCCTCCTCCCAGGAACACTACTACCTGAAACTAACAGATTGCTCTTTCTGTAGGGGCCAGCTGTCTCCTTTTAACACTCAGAGTTGTAGTGAACTCATTAGCAGCTCTTACTCCAGGTCATTTAATATTGCTTGGATTATTGATGATTCAGTCACAGCTCCAAATAATAAATGACAGAAACATGATATAACCACCTCAGAGATTAAGGATCTCTCTCTCATATTGTTGGCAAGTTATTTTACTGCTGTGACTCATTTTCCCCATCTGTAAAATGCACGTAAGAATATTAACCCATCTCAAAGTTGTGTTATGAGCTCCAATTGACTCATATTATACAGAATGTGTTGAGCCCACCAGGTGGAAAAAGCTAAAGTCTTACAAATTATTTCAAAAGCATCTAAAATGTATACATTGGCTTCAAATTTAAGAGCATGTATCCAATTTATTTTGCTTAACCCAGGGTTTACATAGCATTTCCGCAAAAGCAGACTAAATACTTTTTAAAACATCTTAATGGCTGGTAGTAACTGCTGTTACACCTTCCTCATCTAGTGGAAAGTCAATGTAATGACTAGCCCATGTTCTTCTGTGCAGTCTGCTATGGGTATACATTTCTGACAACACAGACCACCTGGAAAGTTTAGGGGTCTCTGAATTTAAGAGAACTCTTCCCTTAAATATCCTCAGAGCTGTCAGGTGTATAGAATCAGAGGACTGTGAGGGACTTTGAAAGTCACATAGTCTAATTAATTTGCACACAGATGTAGATATAAAAGGTATACATTTAATGATTTTTATTTTAGAACTAGATAGTCTCATGGCACATGTCATATTGGATCTTGCCCAGGTGTGTAAGGGTAATAGCAACAGACCATTTTCACTGAGTAATACTTGGGAACTCATGCATGTGTGTAAGCAAAGCTAAATGGAAGAGTCATATTCAGGCTTCCTGGACTGCTACCACCATGAAGCTGAAAAGGCAGCAACATTAAACAGGTAAAATATTAGTTTAATTAAACATAATGAGTTTTTATTAAATAAATTGAATATCCTTATTAAAATAAAGTAACCCTTAACTCTTCCCATGTCCAAAATAACTATGAAGAAAGAGGAAGACTATACTTTAAAATCACAGAGAGTAGCAACCAATAGCCAATGAGCTGAATCTGGCCTGTGAAGATATTCTTTTCCAGCTCACAAAGGCTGGATAGTGATGGCAGCCGATTCACAAGTGGCACCCACACTAGGGCCCAAGTGCATTCATTCAGTCCATTATTTCTAGTGGATTGCCAGCCCCTGCTCTGTTGATTGTTTTTAAGTGTGGAAGCTATCACAGATCAGCCTGCAGAGTAGGATAACTAGGGCAGGGCAAAGGGGGCAACCACTACAGGAACCAACTTTGAGAGGAGAAAGAGGCAGCTATATGATCAGTCTCAATTGCAACAACAGCTGGAAATCAGTTCTGTCCTTGTACTGCAGGTGCCAAGTTGTGTCCCTATGCTGCTGAGTCTGCATGTCTGTTAAAGTGACACTGATTCTCCAAAAAACTTGACACCCTCTGGAGACATTTCTATTTTTCAGTCCCTTCAGCATGAAGCTAATGCAAGTCAAGCACATGATCAGGAAGTACTAAAGCATCCCACGGTGCCTGGCTTAGTTACATGAGCCAACTACTCAGTAGAGAAGCAGCTTATGCCAGCAAGAGTGCTTTTGCCAGCACAGCATATCAGGTCCCCAAAAAAGGATAAATCTGCACCAACAGAACAAAACAAAAAAAGCATTCCTTTACCCACCATGACAATGTTATTGTTTTCAGTATAACAAACATCTCTGCTACTTTCTAGCTAAGACTGGTCAAGCAATTGTATAACCTTGTCCTGCCCCCATGGGGGACTAGCATTTTCAACTGGGGTAGACTGTGTTAGTAGTGGTGATGGTAGCAGCAGCAGCTGCTTTTTCACTTATAGGAACTGAACTAGACCCAACAGTCCAGAACTGGATAGGATGTAAAATTAGCTCTACTTCCAGGGTTTGGAAAGCAAGCATGCCGCATTTATGTTGTTTTAAAAGTGGCAAGATAAACATTTTCCTGGAAAAATAAATCAATCAAATCATCATTTCTTTATCTTGAGGAGGAGGAAAAAAGACAAACAATATCCACAGAACATAGATTAGAGTCAGTTGTTGCATTTCAGGAAGTTTATTACAAGTATTACAAAAAAAAAAAAAAAAAACAAAACAATCATTAAAATAGTGGGCCTGAGTAATATTCATCATAATCAACATCTCATACATAAATAGTATCTAGAGAGACTCATTGTCCTTAAGTGCAAAATTCAAGCTAGGAAAAGACAAGAGAAATTCCACAAAGAAAAATAAATCAATCAAGGACTGGATTCTTCCCCTGTAGGAACAGCAGCTGTGTGCGTTTTCTTGGGGAGAAGCTGGGAAAGGATGTTGGGCATGACCCCACCTTCAGCAATGGTCACGCCTGCAAACAGCTTGTTTAGCTCTTCATCATTCCTCACTGCCAGCTGGATGTGTCGTGGCCCTATCCTGCCTTTCTTGTTTTCACGTGCAGCATTTCCTGCCAGTTCCAATATCTCAGCACTCAGATATTCCAACACTGCAGCCAGGTACACTGGAGCTCCAGCACCAATTCTCTCAGCATAGTGCCCTCTTCGGAGGAGTCTCAGGACACGGCCAACTGGGAACTGCAGTCCAGCTTTTGCTGACTTGCTTTTCTTTGATACCAATGGGGGTTTGGCGTTTTTCTTTCCGCGTCCAGACATACTAATAAGCAGCCAAGAAAGCAGACAGATTACAAGAAGTCACTGTAAAAAGTCAAGTGATTGAGCTACAACTAAGTCATAGTAAAAGCCAACATGGTAAGAAGGTTAACAACATCCTTCCTCTATAATACATTCCAATAACCAAGATTAATTTCTGTCAAGAGAAGGAAACAATGGTTTAAAGCAAACCAGCTAAGTAGCAAGTGTTTGTTAGGTTTAAAATACTTCCTTCTTTCTTTAGAAAGTTATTTGTTTGACTACCTGTTAGAAGGTAGCTCTGGTGTTACAGTAACAGGCCTTCCTGTTGATTCAGATATTGCCTCCTAGAAAGGCAAACAGGCTTTTTTCCCCTCCCTGATGCCTGGGAAGTCTTTGAGAGAGAAGGAATTCTCTCTGTACAGGACCATTGTTTTCAGACTTAGCTATTACCTCGAAGACCAGATTGAAGCACAAGAGCAGGGGCTATAATGGTTTAGAGCAGTGGTTCCCAACTTCAGGTTGTGACCTAAATGAGGGTCACAGGGAGGGGGGGGGAAAATGCCAGCAGTGCTGTGCATTAAAAGACAAGCCATACCCCATGCAGTGAGCTCCCCCATCCCTGCCCTACTGCTCCCAACAGCAGGTCACGGCAGAAAAAGAGATTGGGAACTACTGGTCTAGAGAAAAACCCAAAACAGGTTGGGCCTTATCATCCAGTTGCAGCGCCAAGAATCCTCATGTTTTAGGAAGTCTTATGCTGCAAGTTCCCCCTTCAGTTTACTTCACAATACCTTGTATGTGTACCTATTCATTAAGTACTCCAAAGAAGTTATAGTTTAACTAGGGAGACTAAGGGAACTTAAGGTTTTATGTTATTAAAGAAACATATCATTTTAGCCATAATGAGAAAGTTTTTGTAGATACTACTTTTTGCAACCTACTGCAAGATGTGACAATTTCTACATCCCCATCTTCACAGAAGTTTGCAGGATACAATCAAATTGCTGGTTATTAGATTATTATAGAATTAGGAAAGGCTTGCTGTAAGGCGCTAGAATCAGAGCACAACATGAAAAAACAGAGGCATCCCAGAATAGAATAAACAGCAACTTAAGAAAACTACAGGAAACCAGAAGCCTACATTTATTAAGAGGAGGTAGAAGGAAACAAGCATAACAATCTGGTTTATTCACAGTTGAGGAGCTTAGCATTAAAGTTGTATTAGCCAATGATGCAAGATCTATTAGAGACACAAGTACTATAGCACTACTTAAAAATCATTAATGCCTTCCCCAAAAGCCAATGCCCTCAACATCATTTGTAAGATAACTAAAACTTTAAATTAGTCTCCCATTACCTTCAGTAAACCTGGTTTATTCTATCCCACACTTGTCAATATCTGTGTCCAGCTAAATGCTTCTAGAAGATAGCTGACTCCTTTTTATCCTTCTTAGCTGCCTTTACTCCAGATCAGGTGATCACAGGATTACTTACGGACTCTTCACACCATAAACGGTAGTGTACTTGATTGGGAGGGAGAGGGAAACAGAAACAAATTATAAACACCTGAAAGATAAAGTGTCTTCACAAGGTAGAAAATTAGGACCAGGCATTCCAGGCTCTGTACTGATAATTCACTGTGATTTAAAACAAGGTACTTAACCACTCTGACCAAAGTGTCACCATCCTTAAAATGGATGAATGAATGAATTCCTGCTTGCTTCATTATGGTTTTGTGAGGGTTAACTAGCTAATAATTATAAAATATTTTAACTTCAAAGGTGAAAAATATTATATAGTTACTAAGTATTGTTTGATTGTGAAAAAACTTTAATTCTGTATATGTTGGCTTCAAAATTAAGGGAAAAATGAACTCATATCAGTAAATCCAGATCTATTGCAGCTGAGCAAATGCCTTCAACTTATTTATAAAGATTCACTGATATTCTAAAGAAATGTATGTTTGTAAGCATCCCTCCCCTTTTGTGTTTGCTTTCTGGGATTCAAAAAGCACTCTCATTCCATCAAAATCTGTGATCTATTGGTTTGAATGGTATTTCAGCTACAGATGATGAATCAGATATTAAAAATGTAGTTCTGCCTGGGTACTTAAGATTTAATTGATGGTTCAAGTAAAACAAATTGGAACAAACACCTAAGGCACCAATGCTTACAATCACTTATGCATGTTAATAGCTTTGGGCTATCCAAAAAAAGAATGTATGTGTATAAAATGGGACTAACATAGAGTTTCTGCACCTAAGCTCAGTGGGTTCCTGGAAACCCTCACTCAGCTGCTACCAAACCCAGGAGGTGACTAACTGCTGAGGGGCCCCTCACTTTTTGATACAAAGGTTCTTAAACACCTGGAGCTGCATCACTGTGCATACCCAAAACGACAACTGCTTCATTTTTGTCACAGCTGGACAACATGATGCCTGAAGTAGATCCATGAATTACTCTTCCTCCACCTAGCACTCCTGATGGGCTCAATCCAGTATTCTTCACACACACTGGCAGGATCAGGACCCTTGTGGATCAATGTACTCATGGTCACTAATTTCTTCTAAAACATGGCCAGAGAAAGTGGTGGTGCCCATTTGTTAATTAATAACCTAGGGCAGCAGCCGGATCCAGCACAGCCCAGAGAATAGGGATCTTCTGAGGCATTTTAGCAGCAAGGGCCTTCAGTACTGTTCAGTGGTAGAGGGCTTTGTCTGTACCAGAGCCAGACACCAAGGAAAAGTGGTGGGAAGAGTTGCAGTGGCAACAGTAGTCTGGTTGGAAGTGCCAGCTTTCCTGGGACCTGAGCTGGACTGGTTTTAACTGTCACTTGTTAAATGTTACCGATCACTTACCTAGTGATTAAAGCACTTGCTTGGGGAGGGAGACCCGGGTGCAGTTTCATAGTTTCATAGTAGCTAGGGTCAGGAGGGACCTGAACAGATCATCTAGCCTGACCCCCTGCCACAGGCAGGGATGAATGGT